GCAGCTATGGGCATTGGAGCAGCAGCAGCTGCTGCTGCTCCTCTGCTGTAGAGACTATGCCGGCAGCTGCTGCTGCTGAGCTGCTGCTGCTGCTGCTGCTGCGGCTTTGCCTGGTATTGCTGCTGCTGCTCTTGTTGATGGTGGCGAGGCACATCGCGTACAAAATTTAGCTTGTTGCCGCTGCTGCTGCTGAGTCTGCTGCTGCTGCTGCTGCTACTACTACTGCTGCTGCTGCTGAGCCTGCTGCTGCGGCTGCTGCTAGTGCTGCTCGGGGGGGTCGGCGAATGTCCCGCAGGGGATTTGCTGCTGCTGCTGCTGCTGCAGTGCTTGGAGGCAATTGGTGCAGCATATGGGTGCTGCTGCTGCTGCTGTTGCGCAAGCAGCCTACGCTTCTTGTGTCGTGAACGAAGAGCTACGACATGGCTGCTGCTGCTGCTGCTGCTGCAGCAGCGGTGCCTCTTGTGGCGGCAGCAGGTGAGGGGCTGCCCGCGTACTGCAGCAAAGATCTCGTGAGTTTGTGTAGCAGCAGCAACAGCAGCAACTGCTGCTGTTGCTGCAGTCTCCGCCACACGAAGCGCAGCCTCCTGCTGCAGCGAGGCGAGGCTGCTTGTTGAGTGCCATGCAGATTCTCGTCTGCTGCTGCTGCAGGAACTGTGCTGCTGCTGCAGATGCTGCTGCAGTCGATGCTGCAGTTGGTGCTGCAGTTGCTGCTGCAGCGAAAGCTGCTGCTGCTGCTGCACTGCCGAGTGTCTAGACAGATAAGCAGGGCCCTCCAAAGGCGAGGCCTCACCATCCGAGTAGGCATCATAGAAATCAGCATCGGAGGGTTCGTGCTGCTGCTGCTGCTGCTGCTGCTGCTGCTGCTGCAGGGGGGAAGGCGAGTAGGCTGCAGCAGCAGAGGCATGAAGTGCTGCTGAGCCCTCAACTTCGCAGCCCTCGTCTTCGCTGCTGCTGCTGCTGCTAGAGCAGGAGTCATGAGCAGAGGTGGTGTTTCCCATGGTGATGTGCTGCAGTAAGACACCCAGCTGCTGCTGCTGCTGCTGCTGCCGCTGCTGCTACTGTTGCTGCTGCTACAGGAGTGTCTGATGCTCAGAGAGAGATGATTAAACAAAAACAAAACAGAAGAAAAACTTGGCGAAGCTGCACACCGTGCAGCAGCAGCAACCCCCTCTGGGGGTTCGTCTTTGCTGCAGCAGCAGCAGCAGCAGCAGCAGCAGTGGCGGGTGGTGGTGGTGGTTGCTGCAGGCTTAGCTAAGCCTTTGAACGAAAGGCAGAGAGTATCAGCATAAAACAAATAAAACAAATTAAATTAAATAAATGCAGCAAGACAAACAAACACAAAAAACCTTCTCCTCAACCCTGTGGCTTCGGCTGCGAGCCCGGGGGGCTTCTGCTGCTGCTGCTGCTGCTGCTGCTGTTGCTGTTGCTGCTGCTGCTACTGCTGCTGAGGTAGAGGCAATGGGAAGGCAAAAGCTGCAGCTTTGCTAAACGAAGCAAGCTCGGATCTGGGTGGTGGTAGCAACTGCAGCAGCAGCAGCAGCAGCAACTGCAGCAGCAGCAGCAGCAGCAGCAGCAGCAATACCAATGGCCTTCCAGCCGTAGATACACCTCAAGCCGGCGGTGGGGTCCTTCTTTCCTCCCGCAGTCTTGAGGCTGCTGCTTATTTCTTACCTCTGTTCTTTCTTTTACACCCCTGCTGCAGCAGCAGAGTAACTGCAGCAGTAGCAGCAGCAACTGAGCAGCAGCAGCAGCAGCAGCAGCAGCAGCGGCAACAGCAGCTGTTTTCATAGCCCCACAGCAGACTTGTCAGATGACAGATGGCGAAGCCAGCCCCCCGACAGCTGCTGCTGCTGCTGCAGCACCGGGAGCAGCAGCAGCAGCAGCAGCACCTGCAGGCGTAGATGCTGTTGTTGTCACAGCAGCAGCAGATGTGGGCTCTAAAACCGAGGCACCTGCTGCAGCAGAGGGAAATAGAAACGCAGCTACCTCGGAGGAGCAGCAACAACAGCAGCAGCAACAGCAACAGGAGCAGTATCAGCAACAGCAGCAGCAGCAGCAGCAGCAGCAGCAGCAGCGGAAGACAGCGGGGGGTGTTGACCGCGAGCTGCTGCGGCTGCTGACGGGGCAGGGTAATTCTTTTAATGAACTCTGCCTGGCCTTCTCCGGTGGCCGCAGCAAACGCCCTCGCGCTGCAGCAGCAGCAGCAGCAGCAGCAGAAGCAACAACAGCAACAGCAAAGGCAACACCGCCTGCTGCCGCACCTGCTGCTGCTGCTGCTGCTGCTGCACGGCGAAGCAGCAGCAGCAGCAGCAGCAAAAAACGAAGGGCCGTCGAGCAGCCAGCGAAATCCCCAACCCGTCATAAGGCAGCAACGGGTGCAGCAGCAGCAGCAGCAGCGGCAGCAGCAGATACAAAAGCAACGAAAGCAGCAGCAGCAGCATCTGCAGCTAACGAAAAAAGGGAGAGCACAGCAGCAGACCCTGGAGTGCCTGCTGCCGCAGGTGCTGAAGCAGCAGCAGCAACAGCAACAACAACAACAACTGCTGCTGCTGCTGCTGCTGCTGCTGCATGCAAGTCAGAAGAAGGGGGAGATTTGCTGCTGTCTGTCTACCCGAGAGAGCTGCGGGGCCTCGCTACTTCAGCTGAGCTGCTGCAGGCCTTCAGGGAGTGCCGCAGCAGCAGGCGCAACACGCCATGCAGCAGCAGCAACAGCAGCAGCAGCAGCAGCAGCAGCAACAACAACAACAGCAGCAGCAGCAGCAGCAGCAGCAAAAGCAGCAGCAAAGCCACGCATGCTACGAAGACGTCAACGCCAACGGCCTCGAGGAGGACCGACGCTGCATCTGCTTCCAAGAGGAAGCAGCAGCAGCAACAGCAACAGCAGCAGCAACAGCTGCAGCAGCATCGAGAGAAGCAGCAGCAGAAGACTCCCCAACAGCAAAACCATGCCCAACCAAAAAAGAAGCAGCAGCAGCAGCAGCAGGAAGACAGTCGCCTTAAGCGGCCGAAGGCTGAGCAGCAGCAGCAGGAAGAGCTGCGAACTGAAAAGAACAAAGCCAAGCAGCAGCAGCAGCAACAGCAACAGCAGCAGCAACAGAAGCAGCAGCAGCAGCAACAGGATGGGCAGAAGAAGGGCATGAGTAAGGTTATGAAGCAACAGCAGAAGCAACCGAAGCAGGAACAGGAAGAGGAGGGCCCGCAGCAGCAGCCGCAGCAGCAACAGCCGCAGCAGCAGCAGCAACAACAACAGCAGCAAGCAATTAGGGGGAAGGAGCAGCAGGAGGGCGTCAAGCAGCAGCAGAAAGACAGCAGCGAAAGCGGAGCGACAGCAACAACAGCAACAGCGGCAGCTACCGCTGCCGCTGCTACGGCTGCTGCTGCTGCTGCTGCTGCAGCTGCATGCAAAAGAAGCGCAGGGGAGAAGCCCATGCCGTGCGCGGGCAGCAGCAAGGACTGCAGCAACACCGTGATCGACTGCAGCAGCAGCAAGAGCAGCAGCAGCAACAGCAAGAGCAGCAGCAGCAGCAGCAGCAAGAGCAGCAGCAGCAGCAGCAAGAGCAGCAGCAGCAGCATCCCTGTTCCCACCACCAATGCAGGGAGCGAGCGGAGCGGCGGAGACACGTGCAGCACTAAAACAGAAGAAGGAGACAGCCCCGTGACCCCACTCAGCAGCAGCAGCAGCAGCAGCAGCAACAGCAGCAGCAGCAGGAGCTGCGAGGAGCAGAACCAAGAAGAGGAATCGTTTGCTGCTGCCTACGCCAGATCGGATGCTGCTGAAGACGCAGCAGCAGCGACGGCAGCCGTAAAGGTTGCTGCTGCTTCTGCTGCTGCGTCTGCTGCTGCTGGTGAGCACCTCGAGTCGCAGGAGAAGGAGCGGGAGCCGACGGAGCAGCCGGCCTTTAAGCAGAAGCAGCAGCAGAAGCAGCAACAGCAGAAGCAGCAGCAGCAGAAGCAGCAGCAGCAGCAGCAGCAGAAGGCAGTTCTTATGGTTCCAATTCGCCCGGAGGTGAAAGTGCGGCGGAGACCCGTAAAGCCAGGGGTAAGTTAATCGCAGCAGCAACAGCAGCAGCAGCAGCAACAGCAGCAGCAGCAGCAGCAGCAACAGCAGCAACAGCAGCAACAGCAGCAACAGCAGCTCCACCACAACCAAAACAAAACAACAAGAGCAACAACACCAACACCAGCAGCACCAGCTGCAGCAGCAGCAGCAGCAGCAGCAGCAGCAGCAGCAGCAGGTATTTGTGTGCATGCGTTGTGTGCGTAGGGCCCTGTGAATTTTAGTCTCTGCTGCATCTGCGGCTCTGCTGGGGATTTACTTTGCTGCGACTTCTGCCCCCGCGTGCTGCATCCGCGGTGTATGTACAGCTACAAGCCGCTGCAGCAGTATATCCCTGAGGAAGCTCGTGCTGCTGCTGCTGCTGCCTTCTACGGCAGCACGTGTCTCTCTCCTGCTGCTGCTGCTCAGCTGCAGCAGATACCCCGCATGCCCCGCCCGAAGGAAGGCATGCAGCCCCATAGCGAACCTGCAGCAGCAAAAGCAGCAGCAGCAGCAGCACGGCGGAGAGGAGCAACTGCAGCTGCAGCAGCAGCAGCAGCAGCAAATGAGGCATGGATGTGTCCGGTATGCCATGGAGAACCAGTTGCTGCTGCAGCAGCAGCAGCAGCACGACATCCTGCTTGGCGTTGTAAGCAGATTGATTATAAGCGGCTTGCTGAAGGAGGCGGCCTCGTTGCGGTGTTTGCTGAGCTGCAGCAGCTGCAGCGCTTCTTCCCGAAGCGTATATCATTTAGCAAGTGGGCAGCAAAACACAGCCACAAGCTGCATGCTAAGAGTCGCCGCCTGCAGCAACAGCAGCAGCAGCAACAGCAGCAGCAGCAACAGCAGCAGCAGCAGCAGCAGCGCAAGGCGAGAACGGGAACCAATACGCCGACGCAACAAGCTGCTGCTGCAGGGGAGGCTGGAGGAGGCCCTGCAACAGCATCATCAGCAGCAGCAGCAG